AGCCGGTGCACTTTCCGGTTTGGCGCTTGACTTTGTGATGACTGGAATTGGGGTCGTAGCTGCTTCCGCCATTGTGGTTATTGTGATCGCGGAAGGTGAAGTCATTTGCAACAGGTTATAGGCGCTACTATGACAACTGTGCGAATATGGCAAAGCAAGAGTAGTGATGGTTCGAGACTAGTAGCGAACGTTGGTGATCGAGTAGGTCGACAGAGAAAGACTGATGAAATAATGTTTACCTGTTACCACATAAGTCGGAGAATACAGCCCTGTAACGAAAGACTTATACTGGTGGGCGAAGGCTTTCGAGCACAGTTCCGTAGTTAATAGTTCTCGGTAGAAAAAGGTGAGTCGGAGCCTGAGGGAGAAAGGTATTTAAGGGAAAAATAGTCACGTCTTCCCACCGGCCGGGGTAACCGGGGTTTGCGTTGGGTGGGTAGGCAGGTATGCCAGTGGCTTTGAGACACATCTTGCCCGCCGCAGCGCCGTGACCCCTCCCAATGTTTTCTATTGATTATACTGAAGGAATGAAGGAAATACATGATGTGACTATGAAAGGTAAAAACAACAACGTGAGAAAGAGCTGGCGATCGATATTGAAAAATAGCTTCAATAAGCAAGCTATACTGGGCAGTGTCCGCGCTTGCCTGCGACCAACAAGGAGGATCCTCAAGGTCTTCAACTTGCATTGGGGTATTTTTATTGGACGCAAGAGTATACTACTTTTTGAATGGGGCTTTCGCTTAGAAGCAAATTAGAACAAACACTCTAGCGAGTAGTACGGTATATAGATTGTCTTCATGATCTGTGCTTTCTTCTTTGGAGATGCCCAAAAATAGCTTGTTATTTCTGTCTTGAGGGAGGCTTATTTTGGTGGTAGAGAACAAACGTGGCTGCAGATGGGCTGAGCGTCTAACATCAAGCATCAACAATTGTAACCTCACACAAAGAGTTCACTTCCTCTCCATAGTTGGCTAATTATGGGAATTTTCTGTTTTTGTGGATAGCAATTGTTTCAGTTTGGGTGGGAATTTCCATAAGACTACACCGAAGTGATCAATAAGAATACAATATGTAGTCCGTAACGTTTTGATCATGATTATGTTGAGGCCTATGAACTTGTTAGGAAGCAAAGCGAATACTTTTCCCAGGACGCAGCCCTCAAATTCTATTATAATGATCATAGGATTGAGAGGGACCTCAAAATTGCAATATAGCTTGGTTATTGCGATTTCAGGGTTGATTTGGGTGCCAGTTAGAGAATATGTTGCCCAACCAGAATGGGCTATGGTTTTCATGATCAGCATTCTGTAAAGGTTTCACAGAAGCTTCTCCCAACTTGATACAAACTAACCGTGGGGAGGGGGGGGGGAGTCCACTTTGTGATAATAAAGTCCCATGGATTCCGACTGACAGGTTCACGGGCCCGTCTGAAGATAATAACAGGCGGTAAACCAGACACGGTGAGCAATCATACGCACTTGTAGGAGTGGGGTTAAACGCTGGCCCCTACCGTGTATGTCACACGGTGCTCTGAAGGGCTTTCTGCTCACGCAAGTGATGCTATTATCGTATAGCGTTGTACTATATCTCATTGAGCCTATTGCTGATGAAGGGATCGGAGGAACTGGCCCATGACCGGTTATATTCGCTGCCGGAATATTCCCTCCGAGACAGCAGCAAACCAGACTTCTGCACTGCTTAGTTCTATGTTAATTATCTGATTATGGAAAGGAGTGCAAGGTACCCGCTTCTCAGTACGATTGTTAAACGCCATCATACCGAATTGTTCTTTAGTTGTAGACAAAATTGGTTATATCTTCCATATTATCCATGTGAAGGTTAATTGATATAATCTAATGGAATTCATTTGTCGCAATTGTACTACACTATGTATGTATGGCATGCATAGGTTATATATCTACATACATACATAGGTATCCTCCGCCCTGGACCGTTGGAAATTGCTGCTCTGTGACACTAAGCACTGCTCCGGCATATTGGCGGCACTTAGCAAGGTCTGAAATTGTTCGATATACTGACTTAGGAAGAGGGAAGGACTATTGACAACAAGTAACTATCGTGCCTGTGATCACAAACATATACTGAGATTTCAATTAGCAATTCATGGCGAAACATCGAAATTGATTCCCAATATTAGCCCATAAGCAATGCCACTGGCATTGTACCAAATGTTAGAATGCAATTCCAGCTAGCCTACGATACAAAGATGTTTAGGTCCAGAGGGTGCCGTATCCTGGGCCCATCTACATGCGAAGAATTTCACGGGGTCTCTATGCCTTATGATCAAGTTCCAGTCATTGATATTGCGTTGAAAATCTAAGATTATTACCTATTTGTTTGACACGAGCCCAGGACTGGTTCGGGCTACAGCTGATTACCATTACGGGTCTAGGAGGGAACGGCTTTCCGCGGGCACTCAAAACAGATTTAGCTATAGACGCTCTCTCGGCTTGAAGGTTCATTGGGATATTGCTTCCCCAGTTTCACTTCTGCATCGGGACTCTATGTTAGAGTAGCTTCAAACCGCATATGCATGTGATTTGGCCCGCTCTTTGAATCATAAACCCAGATCGTACCCTAGGCCTTGTTTCATAGCACCAATTCAGGCTAGCCATCTAGAAGAAACCGCGCGGTTAACAGTTACACTGACGGCTTGTCACATCCCTTTCTCCTGCTTATTGGCTTCCTCTATGGTTACTTGACCTCAACGAAGTTGCAGACAACCGCCATGTGGTACAGAATATACTTTTGTGGTGTGGCAATACGTTTCAGGACATGTCAAGTAGATATTGGCCCAGCCAGATACAAATACATCCATTATTTAATATATTGAGGTCAATTGCCACCAGATATGAAGACTTGGGTACCCTAAAGAGATCTACTCAGTAGTATGAGTACTACCTAGGTCTAGATCGTTCGCATACTGTACACCTATCTGTATAAACACTCAAATGTGTACCAGTGTCTATGTTTTGGTTTTGAAAGCCGGCCGTAGGGGTCCGAGGTTCTGGTTCTCGAACTCAATGCCGGCTCAATAGCATACTGAAGCCTTACTTACTATGGACCGAAAATCCTATGAAGTAAAATTCTGTTCCGGTAGGTATACACGTAAGTAGATTGGTAAAACACACCACTTTTGGCGTCACGTGTTACAAACCAGGCTTACTTAGGTTTCTAACTATTCATAACATTTGCACCAAGCCCAGTAGCCATACCTACTTCATAGGCAACTTCGCTTCTGAGTGCTTTCGGCGACATTTAATCCAACTGGGGGTGGGTCAGAGGACAGGTGCATTTTCCTGTCTCAATCCACAGTTAGACTGATACTTAGCCTACGCCTACAACGGTTGTGCTTATACGTAAATGCTCAAGGTTATATGTTGACCAGATCATGATTTATCCAATCGCCAGTGTACCTAAACTGCAAGTTATTCAATATATCTATATATATGCCCACAGCTGTGAAAGCACGAATTCGAGTAGCAGTACATAGGGTCAAAGCACTTTAGCTTTCGGTTTTCGGTCCGTTGTCTTGCCCGTTGGAGTGTTTATATATCACTTGAAAGTTTTACTCTATACAATGCATGTGACTACCAAATTGGCCTAGACAATATCTAGATGGGGCTCACAGGTTCTACGTACATAATTGCGAATGACTTACGGCTGTATCTGCAGTGACCCATTGACGATTGTCCTTCTTTCATAGTTAGGTCGCCTAGGTTCCATAATGCGTACTGCCTGGGGCCAAGGGATGAAAATGGATGAATACGAAACCTAATATAGCAATAGGGATATAATAGTTTATAGGAAGTGACCTCAAGCTTTCCATACAATCAGCGGAAGGAGAGATGACAACACTTGTGTGCTTTCTAGTAAGAAGCGGAGTCATCATCTCGGAAGACAACGATTGTGAAAACAGCGGGGAATGATCTGGTGAGATTGTATTATCAAGTTGGATGTATTTTCCCCTTATAGGTAAGTAGTACCTTCACTTTTTGTATAATTCCTGACGCCAATTCATATCTTATACCAACTTGTATTAGATACTTGGCGCAAGGGAGCACTTTCCCATATTGAGAGCTATGGGGAATTTTCTTACCTTTTATATCCCACTACCATCAAGATATAACTGATCAGCTTTTATCATCTATCTTATGGGCTCACATTGTGTAAATGAGTACTGAATTTTTCTTTTTAAAAACAATTATGGCTTACATTGCTCTCTATACATGGAGTTTGGAAAAAAAAGTGCTATATTCTCCAAATCTTAACACACCTACTGTCCAAAGTATCTTTTTAGTATACTGTACCATATATAATGCTTGAGAAGCTCTAATTATCTAACAAATATATTAATGGTTAATAAATAATAGCATCACCAACTTGTAGTCAAGGTATGCACTCCACCCACAACGTCTGCTTCACGGCAATCTCCATTCATCCACCAAGTAGCACTTTTCTTCCTCTCCCTATATGTCCTCTCTCTGCTCCCGATATACCTCTTTCCCCATATATAACAACCTCCAAACACCTCCAAATCTCACCCCTGGCCGTACCGCTCCATCCATCAGGTCTTATGGCGCAATTGGTTAGCGCGTCCGGCTGTTAAACACCTTCACCAAACTTAAACCTTCCTCTGGGGGCATTTGGAACTGAGTTTAACAACTACCGGGAGGTTGAAAGTTCGAGTCTTTCTAGGACCGATTTGTTTTTTTTGCTCTTCATTCGAGAAATACATTCATTCATCCACAGCCTCTGCATTACAGAAAGCTCTAGGAGACCACCACGTAGCACGTTCTGTGAGCGTACAATATAACTATCGGCCTCTAGCAAACCTGGCACCCAGTGATCACCTTTTGTCCTAGCGGTTACACTCTCCAACACTTTCTTCCTCTCCCCATATATCATCATATACTATATCAAAACCTACAAACCCCCTCCATATGCTACCCACCCCCATACCTCTCCATCGACCAGGTCTTATGGCGCAATTGGTTAGCGCGTCCGGCTGTTAAACACTCTAACATCCTCCGAGGGCATTTGGAATTGAGTTTAACAATTACCGGGAGGTTGAAAGTTCGAGTCTTTCTAGGACCGCTTCGTTTTTTTTGCTCTTTTCTTTCTCTTGCCGAGTCTAGATCTAGATCCATAACAGGAGAGCAGTAAATGAAGTGGTCAACGCTTTTAATAACCAATAGATAGCTACTACATTAACACTATACCCAATATAACTCATTGCTGTCCACAAGCCGGTACTCAAGTATTCTCAACGGCATATTAGCCCCTGGGCTTATTGAAATATTAGTGGTGGATATCTCAGCTCTATAGAAGAGTCTAGTTCGAGGCTTCTAGAGTGGCAGGGGCGCTGGCCCAATAAATAATATGGCTTGAATTCTCGCCTTTGCTTATGACTCAGAAGACTAATAACTCTGTAAATGCATTAACTATTAGCCATAGCAGGTGCTTGTGGAATAGATGGAATGATGAAGTCCAAGTAGGATAATGATACTTATGACATATTGTGCAGGATGTTCCTATATAATGAAACCACCTGAGTTTCATCAAATCAGAGTCCTGTAAAGTTATAAAATTGGAGAAGCGCTATTGGGATTGTAACATTGCATATATGTACTCCTCTAACTGAACCTGTGGGTGGATAGGCGCACCTCTGTCAGAGTGAATTACCCTGAGCTAGAGCGCACATAGATTACTTCTACATTCTTTTGTCAGTTGAATAACGAAGGGTTGCTTTGGCAAAACCACTTTTCATAAGCCATTTCAAATACAGATATTTATATCAAGCACACACATTTGACTTTCTCTGATGACTGCGCATCTGGGCTTGAGTACACTCACACACCTACCTCGCAGGCACCTTACAGTGGTCTAGCAATAAACATTATTTTACTTGTATTCAATCATGAATTGAATAAGATGTTAGCTGGATTAAACACTGTTTTCAGGCTTGTTGAATCTTTTCATAGGCTGTGTTGAATATTCTGAACCATATTTTCAATATAGATGACAGATATATGTAATTAGACCTAGCTAGATAGAATCTGCATACAATGGCATATGATTTGTAATTGACAATGAATTGTATTATATACAGCCCTTGCTGAGAATTTTCTGTCTGTAGATTGCATAATCCAAAATGCAGGTATGGGAGTCTAATATCAAGAAGTGGCCTGGAGTTGGTGTATTGGCATTGACAGTTGAAGAATAGGGGAGGGTAGTATATAGTGGTGAGTGCTCTATGCAACAAGACTCTAGTGAACACCAGAAATTAGTATTCCAAACACTGGGTACAGATAAGATATATTGGAACAGAAGTGGTAAAGGCATTACCCAGATGCATGGCCTAAGCTACTTTTTCTGCTACAGCAGTCTCCTTCGTCATATTACTGAATGGGGATCCTGAGGCAGGGAAGAAAGGGGTCACAGGAGAGATCTACTAGGCTTCATTCAGAGCTGAGCTCCAATCACTTATGGGGGATGACTCAATAGGTGTGCAGGAGTACATACGTATACCCCATGGAAGGCTTGGCTACAAGAGCAAGGCTATACCATTATGGAATGGCCAGCGTATTCACCCGATTTGAGTCAGATTGAGTGTTTTGGTTGGTTATAAAGAAGGCCTTTATGAGCACCATCCAGAGCCTCTGCGCATGGGTGGAAGTGCTGAGAAGGTGAAAAATGCTATCTGCTTTGCACTTGCCAGCTGTTGGGGAAAAGGTATTTTACTGGCTCATTGAGAGTATGCCTCGGAGGGTGGAGGCTGTTCTTAAGGTAAAGGGGTGGTTATACCAAATATTGGATATGTACATACCTGTTGATAAAATTTTATTATCCTGTACCTACGTGATACCTATGGAAAGCCCTGTGTCTAATTTCATGCTCTTCGGTGCTCTGGTTGTTGTGTTTGTTGACCTATATCAATCATCTGGTGGGAAAAAAATTAGGCAAATTTGGTGTCCATGCTAACACGTACGACCGCTGACTATATGAGAATGAGTCTATAGATGTTAGCTAGTATGTTGTAAGGTGGTGGATATGTGTGGGTATACCAGTACTATAATAGCTCTTACTATTGCCGAGTAATTCCGGTTATTGTGGAGGAAATACAGTAAGTTATAGTATATGTAGCTAAGCACGGCACCACGTCGATGTTCAAGCCTCAGGGATTTCTCTGGCTAAACCATATACCAAAGGCTACTATACTACTATGCAGTGAGATATCTCTAGAAAGCTACTTGAATTTGAACCCGCTACTCAAAGAATGGTAAATTGACGCAATTCAAATAGACACATTTTAGTGGCACATTGTGTCGATGTACATGTCCCATTGCATTGGTGTACGGTTACACCACTTCCTCCTACTGGTGAGGGACCTAACTTCAGGAAACGACCCATAATCAAGGTCAAGTACAAACTATCATTCATACTACTTCGTCTGTCTAGATGGTCAGAGCCTCGCAAACGTTGATGTCAATCCCAAGACAAGTATATATCTTGAATGAAGAATCATCTAAGCATTATTCAGTAATTTTTCCACTCAATAGATTGAGATTAGTAGCTCACTCATCTTGTCCCGATCATTATGTACCAGAAGCAATGCAGGCCACAAGCGAGCATGCTGTAAGTACTGGGCAAATAGTAAATATCTCTTCCAGGATCCAAGGCGATATCATGCAAACACTCATTTATAAATAAATATATATATATACTTATATATATACTGTTAGCAATTAAACTGATTATAAATACATATTATACTGTATCATAAGTGACCAACCACCATGACTACATAACTCCCCACCCCCAAATAGAAAACCCACCCCATCTGAGAGCAGAGAAGGGCCAGATTGTGAGATTTTGGAAATTGGCCTGCAGGTAAAAAAAAGCTTATATGTGACATTCTGTATCTATTTTATTTTGCTATGAATAAGAGCGTAAAAATACCCCAAATCAAGGTCATAGCGTGTTGTGGTGATCGCCCGCGCGGTTAGTGACTTTTAGCACAAAACTAATATTTTAAGAAACTCGAAAGAAGACATTAAAGTCGTGGCACCTATCATGTATATCCAAATCCATATTCCCCAACCCCCCTCTACCATATTCATTAAAACGGGTTTCTATGGAAAAATCCTCTATAATCTGCATGCAAGTATTAACGTAAGTAAGTTCTGCCGTTCCCCAAAAAGAGTATCATCCTTTCTTATTTTGCACCCCACTACTCTTCCTACGCCCCCTCAAACTCCTTCCACACATTCCTAGCCCCCTCCCCCGGCCCAAACCTCTTCGCAATCTCTTCCCTCACACTCCCCACAACATCCTCCGAAGTCCCCTTAACAGTCCCCTCTTCAGGCTCACCCTGCACATCCGTATCCCTCCAAGACCCCCACTTCCACTGCGCCATCAAACTGGGCATCGTCGTATACCCCCTTAGCAAACCCGCCTTGAACTTTTCCGCCATGAGCATATCAACCGGCATTTCCAGCACCCCTCCCGGCCCGCCAACATTATACAGTAACCTCATCGCGCCCATCTTCGTGACTGCATATCCAGTCGTACAAAACGGCGCGTACGTAGGAAGCAGAACCCTAATCCTATTCGAAAGGCTGAGAGGGAGATATGTCCGATATTGATCCATAGCCGGCGCATACCGGTCCACCCAAGCTTCCCAGATCTTCGCTGCCTTTGGGAATTTCGCAGCTGGCGGCCCTTCTTCACCCCCACCATAGCAGTGACCAAGGGTGAGCACGTCCCAGCTGTCCTCGGAGTTAGTGATCCCATAGGGCTCCCCTCTATGAGCGCCGGTGAGGCGCCGGAGATGGGTATCGATATCGGACATGACCTCCTGGATGGAGGAGGTGAAGTCTGCGTCGTCCTCGAGGATGAGTGCGGAAGTGATCCCGCTGCTTGCGATGTGGGCCCAGACTTGGGCGTGAGATCGCCAACAGCCGAGTTCGGCGGGGCGGACAATGTTTTCTGGGGGGTGGCGGACGTCGTAGGGTTTGGCTTTGTCGGAGATGGAGCTGCCGTTGACCTGAGAAGGGAGGGGGGGGGGGTTAGACTTCTATTGCACATGTTTCCCGGGAGAGGGAGGGGAGGAGGAGAACATACTGATTCCACCATAGTAAATTCCAAGTCTAAATACCCGGAAATCAACGCCATCATATCCTGTCTATCTGTTCGACTACCAGCCCACCCCAGCACACATCAGCCGTAGTCCCCACATCCACATCCACACCGATCCATCCCGCATCTCATCTCAACTTATCTAGCCAAAAAAAAAAACTTACTGTTTCATGCTCAAATAGAAAATCTTCTCGAACCCCAACGTCCTATTCCTCGGCCCGTAACTCGCATTCACATCCGCTTCCCTCCACATACCACCATTCGGTACTCTCCTCCCGTCAACCAGATTCCCCACGAGAAGCAGCAACGTCAGGATCCCAAGTGCAATTCCGAGCATTGTTCGCCGCCGGAGGCCGACGATGGAGGTTTTAAAACGAGTGAGCCACCAACGCAGGATGGGAGGGATAGTGAGGGCGTAGCTTTGCATTTTGGCGAATTCGTCGTCGCCACCGGGGGGGGTTGGGATAGGGGGAGCTCGAGGTTGAGGTTGAGGTCGCTGCTGCTGCGGCCGTCGTCGCTGGAGGGCCGCATGGGTTATGGCGGGCACGAGACAAGGAATGTCGGAAGCAATTGAGCTGTCGGTGACCTATCAATTTTTCTCGTGGTCTGGTTATCTCACGTTTGGAAGTCAAAAGGGATTCGCGTGTTCGGAGTACTTCGTTAATTTAAAGGGCGTTAAACCATTTCAAGGTGACTAATGTACTTACTTAGGCACGAGAATAAAGTTACATACCCGTCGGAAGGGCAGTTTGGTAAAAGGGGGGACTGTACGCGAACCACGGATTAAGCGAGGCCCTTGCCATACAGGCCCAGCCGACATGACGCTGTCTATACATAAGAAATATATATATATAAGAGGTCAGCATGGGAGAAAACAGATATACCCATATCTCACTTTACAAAGGTAAACAACGAAATCTAGCTAGTGACAAAAGGAAATATAACGACATTGGATT